CAAATATAATTACATGAAGCATACAAACACACCATGGTAGAGGAAAATTAATTAATGGCCCATTTATCCATAAATAATTAAAATATATATTTGTTGATTACAATAAACAATTTCAAAGACAACAATTAACAACAATTATATTTTACCCAATATCTTTCATGCAAACCCTAGTCCAATTTCATCAAACACAAATTTACAAAAACGAAATTAATAAAAAAAACCAAACCCTAGATCTAGATCTACATGCACATGAAACATCCATAAAACTAACTAATTGTTCACTAAAATTAAAAAACATAGACCAAATAAGGGTATGATCTTGTTCCCCTACCTAATTTACTCTAGTACATTCAAAACTTGGGTCTAATTTGCTTCATAAGTAGCTCAAGCACCATAGAAGAGAGAGAAAAACTCAAAAAAAAGTGTGGAATAGCATTTTTTTACCTTCTATAACCTCTCCACCAAAGGATTTAAGACAAAAACCTTCTTCCCTTAGTAGAGCAATTTTTGGGAGGTGTCCAAGGCCTCCCCACCTTTCTTTCACGGGTTGGAGTGAGTGACCCGAGGAGGAAGAAGGTGCTGCTATTTTTTTATATGTGGATCATTTGTAAGGGCGGCTGGTGATTGAGCCACCCCTACAAATAGCAGGTAATTATACGCAGGGCATTTGTAGGGGCGGTTCAATCACCAGCCGCCCCTACAAATAGAAACACCGGGGCGGCTGGTGAGTGAGCCGCCCCTACAAATCATACCCATTTGTAGGGGGGCTCGTATCACTCGCTGCCCCTGCTGTTCCATTTGTAGGGGTGGCTAGTCTTTGGGCTCCTGAGCACGCCAGGCTTCATCACCAGCCGCCCCTACAAAAAATTTGATCCGTTGCTACAAACCGTTTTTACATAGTGCCGCTCCCTGGTGGTCCCGACGGGCGCCCCAGGCGGCGGCCCCACCGCGTTCATCCCCATCCCGCGGTGCCCACCCACCACCATCCCCCGCTCCGCCACCAGCTCGAACGGCAGCTCCCGCTCCCTCCTCCCGTCGACCGCCGCAGAAGTCGTCCTCCTTGGGGTCCATGGTGGTGTAGGGCGGTAGCATCTAGATCTGAGAGAGAGGAAAGGAGAGAGGGGTGGAGGCAGAGCAGGAGAGGATGGGACGGTGGCCGCGCCGATGGAGGAGAGGCCGGTGGCTGTGGTGCTATGGAGAGATGGAGGAAGGGAGAGAGAGAGGCTAGGGTTTCATGGAGCGCAGAAGCAGACGCTGACCGGCGCGAGGAGGCTGCAAGGGGTGGGAGGCACACCGGCGGCCACCGGCGAGGCCCGCTCACGCGGTGCCATGGACGGAGACGGGCACCGCCGGGTCCCATGGCCGACGCCACATCGCAGCCCGGGGGCGCCGTCGGTCGCCGCCAGCGCCTAGCGGTGTGAGCCAGCGGCGAGGGACCGGCCGGCACAGAAAGATGCGATGGGGGGAGGAGGTGGGGGAGAAAGGCGGCCGCAGCCGCCGCGCCCGCTCACGCCAGGCGCCACCGCCGCCCTGTCCGCGTCAAGGGAGAGAGGGAGCGAAGAGGAGAGAGACTGAGGGGGGGGGAGAATTTTCCTGAAGGTGGCCGCTATATATACAACGGGCATTTGTAGGGGCGGCTGTTGATTAAGCCGCCCCTACAAATGGACAAAGCAGGGCCCCCTACTGTGCCATTACGCATTTGTTGGGGCGGCTCGTATTACCAGCCGCCCCTACTGTGCCATTTGTAGAGGCGGCTGCTGTGCTGGAGCCCGAGCACGTCACTGTAAGGGCGGCTCCAATGCCAGCCACCCCTAAAGAAAAAAAAAGCTCCATTGCTACAAACTGTTTTTCACGTAGTGTAAGGTGCTATTTCTTTTGTAAAATAATGTTTGATATTTAAATTGTTTTTGTCTGCTTTCTTTTCAATCCAAGGGAAAACTCACCATGCCACTGAATTGTACCCTTTTATTGATACATAATATTACTATGTCACATGTAAGCTGATCATTATTACTATTTCATTGTTAGATACACTGTTATCAACTTTTCAGAGCACCAATGAATCAAGAAACATTAATCCCTAATAGAAGTTGGGTTCATTACTTGGATTAAAAAAAACTGAAACAATGTAATGATGGAGTTGTGCATGAAAAATATATGTTCTGGACGAATTTGAATTGTAAATTTGAATTTTTTTTGGCAAAAAAATATACTGTAGGGGCGGTTCTAAACTGAACCGCCCCTACAAAAAGATATTATAGGGGCGGCTGGTACTACGGCCGTCCCTACAAATTGATTTTGTAGAGGCGGCTGGTGTTACCAACTGCCCCTATAAATCGATTTGTAGGGGCGGTCTGGGAACCGCCCCTACAAATGCATGATTTGTAGAGACGGTATGGTAGGGACGGCTCGCCGAGCCGCCTCTATAAACCATCGCCAGTCGCTCCTACAAATGCTTATTATAGTAGTGTCAAGTTCAAATTTCAGATATCTTCCCAAAAAAATAACTCAAATTAACGAATCTTCCTTTTCACGAGCACCTTTAATTGTCAATTCGTTCATAGGTTTCAGAAACATAAGCAATGATCAACATAAGTGTTAAAAAAAGTGTTTATTACCAAAAGTGACGTGCCGAACATTTCATATCACACATTAACACATCCGAGTCACTAAATCGAAATGTTTCTGGTTTTTTATGTGAAGAGGCTAATTGGTATTGCAAATTTATGTGCCGCAGATTTAGATATAACTCTCCACATGGCCAAAGACCATGTGACAACACAGTTGATGGAACGATTTATTTGGACATATATTGACGACGATGCTTGATTGCTTGGGCATGCATGGCCTGTGATTCTGTGAACCCTCGTGATAGTGATAATAATTTGAAGTTAGGTACAGTGTTAGATTAGGCAATTTGATGATCTTTCAACCTAGCTCATATCTGTATTTCCGAATCAAGATGCTTCAAACCTGCGAATACTGATCGTCGTTGACCTGAAAGCTTTGTCCATATTAACATGATACTACTGTATACGGTAAACAGGGAGTGCTTGGCCGTGCTGAAGTAGCTGTTAAGAAGCTCCACGATTATCTATTAATTGAAGACAAGTCATTTCAGGACGAAATTGATTGTCTGATGAGGATCAAGCACAGAAATATAGTACGGTTTCTAGGCTATTGTGCAGATACACAAGGGAAAATAATGAAGCATGAGGGCAAATATGTCCTTGCGGAGGTCCGAGTAAGGCTGTTATGCTTTGAGTATATAGGCAACGGGAGCCTGCGGAGCGAGCTTAAAGGTACAGGTACCATACATACTGCAGCATACTCTGCATTTCTTTTTGTGTTTACTGCATAGTTTACGTGTGCGTGGTGTTAACATGCAACTATACTCTGCATTATTTGAGTTAACATTCAATCCTACTTATGCTGATTTTGTATGTACTACCTCCCATCTCATAAAGAATGCAATTATAGGTTTGATCATGTCACGAAACATAGTGTCCCTTCAAAGAGACACCCCTTGGTGATCTCACTTAGCAAATACTTCCTCCATCCCAAAGTAAGAGGAGTCAAACGGTTTTAATTTTGAACAAATATATACAAGAAAATATTAATATTTATAGTACATAATTTATATCATTAGATAGATCATTCAATCTACTTTCATAATACTTATTTGGAGATACAAATGTTACTAATATTTTCTATTAACCTAGTCAAACTTAAAAAGGTTTGACCGACACGAATGCCATAGCAACACTTATTCTAGGGTGGAGGGAGTACTAGCCATTAGAGATTTAACTACACTAGGTAGTTATTAGTGCCACAGATGCAGCATGTCCATTGCCCAAGGGTTGCCAATACACACGCGCGCGCACATGCGCACATGCAGGCACGCACGCACACACACATACACAAGGGATCAATACAAAAGATAGTTCTACCAATTTTGTTGAGTTTTACTTTTCACACTTTAATAGATCAAAATCAAACTAACCTAAGTTTGACTGACCTTATAGAAAATAGAATTATAAAAATATATGCTAGAAAATAGAGAGCGATGAAGACGACAAACCATGCCATCGGGAGCAAGATACCCAGGAGGTAGTCGCATCTAGACTTCCTCACGGAGTTCACCACTAAGAAAGGCATTTTTTACATCAAGTTGAGAAATGGACCAAGCACAATCAAAGGCCACGGCAAGGAGAGTGCGAACAGTGGTCATGTGAGCCATAGGAGCAAAGGTCTCATCATAGTCACGACCATACTCCTACTGAAAAACATGAGCAACAAGGCGGGCCTTTATAACGCTCGAGAGAGCCATCAGACCGAGTCTCAATCTCATAAACCCATTTGCATGTGATGGGACGAGCATGAGGAAGAAGAGGAACAAGGTCCCAATTAAGTGCCAGTGCGCTCAAGAGCAATGATCTCCTCATCCATGGCATGTTGCCGTTATGGATGACAAATGGCATCATGATATGTGGTTGGCTCAGAAAGAACAGTGCCAGCAAAACTATACCGGTATGCAGGCTTCAGCGATCCCTGATCATGAAGATTATAACGAGAGGATGGCCGAGAGGAGGAATCCTCAACCGAAGATGTCTCAACAGGAGGTGAAACATCAGGAGCCGACTCAACAGGAGGCGAGGTGTCATGGAGGCGGCGACCGTAGGTGTTAATCACAGGTGGTTTGGAGTCATAAATGGACCTAAGAGGAACCTGTGAAGGCGGCTCAGAGGGCAGCGGAGGAGATGGTGGAGGAGGAAGAAGCATAGTGGAGATACATAAGAAACACTGGGAACATGAAAAGAAGAGGATGAAAGAGTGCCATGACTAACAACCGAAAGAGGTGAGCCATCAGCGTTTGAACAGTGAGAGGAATAGAAGGAGGGAAAGTGGAAGAAAGACGGGTATGATCAGGCATCATATGAAAAGAAGCACAAGAATTAAGAACCAGGGCAAGATCAATACCTGAAGTGGATGGTGATCCCTCAATAGAAGACAGAGGCAGCAAGACGACGAAGCAACATGACTATCTCTTGTGTATCAGTATGTTGAGAGCTGCCAGTACTCTGAGAGACACCAGTAGTCGCAGTACCAGGACCTTGTGAGGGACGGCCACCTTGGCGAGACTGAGCCTGCCTCTTCTTCTTGTAACAGTGAGCCTCAACATGTCCATCTCTGTCACAGTGATCACAATGAAGTCCACCTGAACTGCGAGTCCCAGAGCTAGAGACCACTGAAGAAGACCCCTTGGGAGCAGAACCAAGAACTCCGGGGCATGCAAACCGAGCAGCCAGAACTGAGGAGGAGGTTGATTGAAGCAAACCAGCAAAACGAAGACTAGTCTCCTCATTATGAACGGTAGCAAGAGCCTCCATCAGGGACACACATGGCTCACGAGCGAGTAACTGAGCACGGAGAGGCTCAAACTCAGCACGTAGACGAGTCAGGAGCCATAGGTGAGATTGAAGCTCAAGGTGACTTTGTTGCTTCCTGTAGGAATCACAAGTGGTCAGAGACAACTAAGGACCAAGTGTGTCAAGCTCACGCCACACTACACATAGTTGTCAAAAGAAATCCTCAACTGTACTGTGTCACCCTGCTGTAACAACTGCTCCTGACGTCGGTAATATAGGTAGATTCACCATAGGGCTCATAGCGCTGAGGAAGCAAGGATTTGAAAAAGCATGATCAAACTGAACAATATCAGTAGCCAGACGCTCATCCATACTAGCAACAAAAACAACCCTAGCACGAGCATCCTCATCCAACCATGTCTGATAGTCCCTAAAGTGGGACATATAAGAGGCCAGATCATCATCATAAGCATCTCGCAACATCTTTTGGTCAGCTTCTGAGGTTCCTATAGGAATCACCGGCTACACTGGAGGAGTAGGCAAGGCTAGACAAGGTGGCTCACCATTGAGAAACTCCCATAGTCGGAGACCATGCATATGCCACCTCATACGAGGAATCCAATGATGATAATTGATGCCATTGAAAAGCACTATACAACGTGGGACTTGAGCACCACCACCAGAGGTAGGAGCTGGAGGGGATGCCATTTTTTTACTCAACACTTAAGAAACCAACCGAAGGGGAGCTCTCTGTTTTGCTCCAAGAGTAGGGCGGAGCTCGCGGGGCTAGCAGGGCCGTGCCCAGCAGGAGTGAGACCGCGCCCAGCAGCAGGAACGACGCGCCCGGTGGCGGGTCCACGCGTGATGGTGGGATCCGTCATGCGCCCCGCTTGTGCTCGAGTTCGCGCGGGCCCGTGCTCACACACGTGCACCTGCGCGGCTAGAGGAGGCTCCGCGACGGCAACCGGCAGAGAGAAGCCGCGGCGGGAAGGGAGCTGTGATGATTCGAGAAAAGGAGCCGCGATGGTGATGAGTCAACGACGACACGCAGGGAAAAGCCGGCAGGAATGAACCGGCGGCGGCACGGCAGGGAGAAGCCAGCGCGGCCACAAGGTAACCCTAGCGCAACAATCAGACTCTGGATACCACGTTAGAATAGAGCTTGTATTGAGAAGAAGGGCTTTAGCCCAATATGTACATGTACAAGTATGCAAAGACACCCTTATACAAAAGGGAAAATGCAACCACATACACATATATCAAACCTGTAATTCTAAATGAAGTCAACATAGCAGCTAATTACTAATATTGTTTTTGGTTTGTGGTTTTGCTTTTTCACATGATGCAGATACAAATTGTAGACTTGAATGGCATGGGCGATACAGGATAATTAAAGGAGTTTGTCAAGGTTTGCGTTATCTACACGAGGAAAAGAATATTGTTCACTTAGATCTGAAGCCAGACAATATATTACTTGACCGAGAAATGGTTCCAAAAATAACTGATTTTGGTCTGTCAAGACTCTTTGACAAACAACAAACTCGAATTATAACTGCAAACTGTCGTGGGTCAAGGTAAACGGTACTGTATGAGAACCACTAATATTTCAGGATACAGTCTTTGATTTCAACTTACTTTTGCACAGTAATAATGCCACAAAAATATATGCCATGTATATTGTTATGCAGTGGATATATGGCGCCAGAATACTTGGATAATGGAGTAATTACGTTCAAGTCTGACATATACAGTTTGGGTGTGATAATCCTAGAGATTTTAACAGGGCAAAAGGAGAGATGCAACGTTGAAAATGTAAGGATTTAGCTGACCAATTTCCCATGACTATATTTTTTTTATTTTTGCAAGAATATGTGAAATTTGGATTCTTACATTAAACCCGGGTGGGGTCAAGGTCAAGGATAGGTTGAGCGCTCCGACTCTCCACCATCAAGCTGACAGCTCGTTCTCAAATGCAGCATACGCAGTAATTTGGCAAACTATTGTGGCCAATGTAATTTGACGCAGCATAAATATCGGAGGGGGCTGATAGGACTGAAAATAAGAAAAATCGAGTAGCTGATTAACTGCAGAGGAACTAGTTCCTAATTTCACAACCAAGTCGGTATCGCTGGCACTCCGCATGCGGGCTCGCAGGTGCAGTCCTAGTTCAGTCATGGCTCCACCGCCCCTCGATGGACTCATCTTCGCCGATCCAATCTGGGAGGTACGGCGGCCTCATCAATCGGTCTAACCCTACTCCCAGTATCGGATCTAGGAGGAGCTTCTCCCATTATGTTCCATCTACGGCATCTTCTTTCAAACTTCCATGGGTACCAATTTATAGGGGGTTTAGGAGGAGCTCCATGCTTCGAGTAGCTGTAGCCAAGGTAAGTACTAAATAGCGTTCGAGCCCACCTCCCAAACATTTCCATAATCAGAGGAAACAGTCAAATGTCCCAGTCATCTTTTTACTGTTTTGCTAATGTTGGATTACGTACATCTTTTGGTTAGGCATAGTTCTTCCTTTCTTTTAATGAATACCTGCTAGTTCTTGGTTTCTTACTGCTGCTGATTGAAAATGTTGTTGCCCATGAGTACAATCCCTCTTTGACCATGGGTATAATATTGCCCAGACCAATCTATATACTATACTTGTATTCACGAAAAAAGAAGTGAAATAAATTCATGTGCCTTCGGGTTCAACATGAATATACCATCGTTAATAATAATATATTTTTGTGGGTAGCGACTACTCATATTGTCCTTCCACTTAAGACGGTTCAATGGGGGTTCTGGAACCTCTGGAAAAAGAGGAATAGCAGAATCTTCAACAACGCCGCAGAATCATTGGTGCTATAGGTAGCTGCAAGAATAAAAGACGACATAGAGCAAAGAAAAAGAGCATTAGCTTAGGGGTTTACCTGTCTATTGTACTAGCCCCTTGGGGTGTGTTTTCCTGTTTGTACATAAACCCCTTTTTCTTCTACCTTAATTGAAAGGTAGAGCTCCTCTATTGCGTTCTAAAATATTGTCCTTCCACTTTTTCTCGCATAATGAGATAGATTGAGAATTTCTATCACTAATAGTCGATGTGGCCCATTTAATTGCACCAGTTATTTACTCTTTATAATAGATAAGTATGGAAGAACTTCATCATTTCTAGTCTAGTGAAGTAATCTCCTCCTAATTTGATTTCTCAGGTAGTTGAAAATTGGAAGAATAGACTGCAGGCAACGCTGAGCCAGTTGTTACTAGAAGCATACTGCCATCAAGTGAAGACATGTGCAGAGATTGCATTAAAATGTGTACAAGACAACAGTCAAAATAGGCCCGATATTGGGTCCATTATTACTATGCTGAATGAAACAGAAACTGATTTCCAAGAACAAGAAACTTCTACATCCTGTAAGCTGCTTGAGATTCATCCCCTGGAGCTTCGATTCCCTTTCGAGCTTAACAGGTTGGCCACATGCCCATTGTACCTAGCCAACAGCACAGATGACCGTATCGCCTTCAGGCTTTGGCCAGGGAACCAAGATAGGTACTTCACTGAGTGGCTCTGCGGTGTCGTGGAACCAAGATCCACTTACACCCTTACTGTGACTATGAAAGAACAGAAACAGCACCCACCGCTGGACATAGACGAGTTTCTAATTAAGCAGAGCCGTATAATGGATAGTGACCAGCTTAAGGATATAAACCAAGGAAAAGCTGATGATGAGTTTGATAATTTTTTTGAGGAAGTTCAAAAGACAGGTGTTGATTTGGTGCATGAAAATACGCTGATGGCTCTTTGTGACCCACAAGCAGAGACAACCTCTGAGGTTTATATCCAGTGCCTGCTTTTTTTAGCATAACATCTATTATCTGCTCGAAAAATTAACTCTTGTCTTCAAAGAGAACAGAGATGTTTCTTTTTCAACTGGATCATATTAGGTTGAGAGAAGCTCACATAAATATTTCATTCTTCTTTAGCTAGAAACATGTACCTATGCTTAAAATATTTCTACTCATCATTGGCATTTGTTTGGTTGGATCAGGTCATGTCAACGGAGATTTTTAGTAAAATGGTTTCCATGGATGTACATCCAACAGAACCTTGGTGAGTGGATAGTTTAAATTTTTATGAGGATTAAAATGACATGGAAATATTTTATTTCTGCTTCATTGGATTGAATTAGGCACGCATATTTTATTTTCTGATCTGCATGGCAGGATTGTAACCGGTCACTTCAATGGGTATGTCTGCATGTGGAACTATCAGACAAAGGTTTGCAGCTAGTCTCACTTGTCAGTAGAACATATTTGCAGATTGTTTTTTTTGTAGGATATTTTGTAAACATATGAATTAGAGAAGCCAGATGGTGGCACCATGACAAACTTTTACAAATACCTGTTACATTAGATTTTCCGGAAAATTGAAACATATGGGTCTGTTTAGACAAACAACTAGTGAATCCCAATTCACAACCAAACTTTCTGTGTTAGTTTTATGAAGTGTTATAGAACACTCTGTCAAGGAGAAACAAAATCACTAGATAGCTACATTGTTTTTTTTTCTAAATCAAATGGATGTGAAATTCTGATGTGCTTAACTTTTTTTAGTGGCAGTTGTAATAAATTTCCATCCTGGGATTTCTCATGTAGTTCATTTGAATTTAGTGCTTAAATGTTGTTTTTAGTTGTCTGCACTTAACCAAAATTTGACCTATTTCAGAAAATCAAGAGTTAATATTGGAACTAGTTTTCTTTGTTTAGTTTTCTCTTCTGCTTGTCATCTTCATTGTACATAACCAGGCAACCAGCCCTTTTTAGTAAAAAAAATATATAAGTGGGGCACTCCCCCACATCCTTGCTTCAGAAAAAAAAAACATTGAACTAATTAGGTTATGTTTTATTCATCCACAGGCAATGGTAAAGTCGTTTGAAGTCACAAGGGAACAGGAAGGCATGTCATCTGAATTCACCAAAATCTGTTTTGATATCTATTGATATCTATAGAAGTTGTCAATTTCTTCCACAGAGCATCTTTTTTATTTTTGACACATCTTATAATTTCCTATATCTTAACTACAGTTTTGACGGTTAAATTTCTTGCACAAAAGCAATGGATTGTTGCTGGAGGTGGAGATGGTCGCATCTATGTGTACAGTTATAACACAATGAAGAGAGTCAAGAGTTTCAGGGCTCTCAGTAACCAGATCACTTCTTTGGCTATTCATCCAACTGAACCTTATGTACTGTCAGCATCCTATGACCTTGTAATTAAGATGTGGGACTGGGAAAATGGCTGGAAATCCACACGGAAATTTGAGGATGCGCACTCCAGCTCTGTGATGCAGATTGCCTTCAACCCCAATGATGTCAAAGCTTTTGCAAGTGTTTCCAAGGATTATACCTTAAAGGTGTGTGTTTAAATTTCCTGAGACACAAAAACTTTGATAAGATCCATTAAACAAACACTGGTCCTTGACTCCTTGGTTCAGAAACTTAGAGTTCCTTCTTTGCTATAAATTTCAGATCTGGAGTGTTGATTCTCCCCTTGGTAATTTCACATTGGCCGGGCATACATCTCATGTGAGATGTTTGGATTACTTTACTCGAGGTGACAGTCAATACTTGATTACCGGCTCTGATGATGGGACTGCCAAGGTGGGGTCTTCTCCAAACTCCAAAGGGTATGCCTTTAATAAGCATCCATAAAGAGCATTCTGCTCTAACGCTTTTTGTAAATGTCGAACAGATTTGGGACTTGCAGAAGAAGATTTGCGTTGAAACACTGGAAGGACACGCAAATAGAGTCAGCGCTGTATGTTCCCATCCTGAGCTTCCTATACTGATGACAGGTTCCCGCGATGGGACTGTTCGTCTTTGGAACTCTAATAGCTTCAGGTACGGATTAATTGGGCTCACAACATCCTTAAGACATTTTATATCATTATATATGGTTGTGATTCTACTTAACAAGTGCTGGGATAGGATTCACATGGTATGGCTCATGGCTGTAACACTGCTCATGTTTTGCATACTTCCAGGCTTGAGGGCGTACTCAACTTTGGTCTCAGAAAAGTCCATGCCTTAGCATGTATGAAGGACTCAAGGTACATAATGAAACATTTCCTGTGCTCCTTCAGTTTGATTGCCTGAAACAAATTACTAGCTTGCCAATAAGTTTTAGAAGTTCAAAGAAAAAAGTAATCAAACAGAGGATTGTTTTTTATCTCTTCATTTCTGTTATCATCTGCAATTGAGTCTTGCAATCTTCAATATTATTACATGTATGCTCTACCTTGGCATTGCAGTTGCTTATATTGTCCTCTTTTTCTGTGCTGTAAAAGTAAAACTCTATCCACTTAATTTCTCATAAGGTTCTGATCTTTTCCTGTTTTCCTTTTGGTGTGAGATTATAGGGTTGTTATTGGACACAGCCATGGATTAGCAATTACGGAGATTGGCCATCATGGACGTTGGTAGTGTGGGAAGAAATGAAAGTGGCATGAGGAATTCTCACCTGTTCATGCCAAGTTTAATAGCTATACTACAACTACTGGCACATCACCAGTGGTGGCTGCTCTGTTTCTGCTAATGTTACCATTTTGTTTTGGACTTTTGGTGCCCTTCCTGTCTGCAGCATAAATTGTTTAGCGGGGCAAATAAGACAAACATCTATCCGTTTCAACATCACAAAATAGAAATCCTTTTGTTCTTGGATAAATAAATCTGGGAAATAAGCTAAAATGCTTGATATCTGTAGATTTCAATTTGAGTAACAATCTTTCCTCAAAAAGAATTGAGTAAGAATCTGTTGTGTCAGTTTGTTGTAGTATAGTTGTCTGATTCTTGTACAAGATTACATTTTTAAGATTCAGGAATAAAAAAGTACTTCGGCCTCCCCATCCATGCATGAATGAGTATAGACGTTCAGTACAACCCAAAGGCATTTAGACCAAACACTGCTAAACAGAACACAATCAGGTTCAAACGATCAATCAATGATCCGCAACAAAAGGCAAGGAGAACTTATTTCTCTATCCTTATTTGGTGACTCCAACCCATCTTCTTAAAACTTCGATCACCATAATTTCCAATCACGTACACCCTTCCTTCAGCTTCACTCTCTCCTTCTCTTATGACAATTGAGACCAAAATCTAATCCAGTACGCCACTTGAAAATTACTTGCAAGAAAAATTAGTATTTGCTCAGTTAAACGCAACGTCATTTCTACTGAACTATAACTCCCAGCACATCATTGTTACTCCCACTAATACTTGGTTTCTAAATTCAGGAGCAAAACCCTTTAAGCAAGACCAAACAAGTGGTCAGTATCATATGCTGGTTGAATATTAAAACTGATGAACAGAGCATTCCACAAGAATTTTGCAATATGGCAATGAAAAAAGAGATGAACCAAACAAGTTTTATAAATGACTATTCATCCCCTCTAGTCCGCCATCTCGACCCTTATACCCTATGTTATTTATCCTGTCCATTGACCCACTCTAGAAAATCTCGAGCTTGCTACCCGACATGGGGTACGCACGCCCCTACCCCTGGCCTCGACCAAGCTGAGGACGTTGCTTTACGCCGATGATGCAGCAATATTCTTGAACCCAAGCAGGGAAGAGATTCAGGCGGTGAAGGACATACTAGATACTTTTGGCCAGATTACTGATTGGTGACAAATTTTGAAAAGAGCTCAATTCACCCAATCTGTTTGTGAGGAGGTGGGCCTTAATCATGTCTTGCATCTATTCAACGGTGGGAGCTTCCTATGCCGCTACCTAGGCCTCCAACTACGTACTTGAGTGCTACAATGCATACTTGTTCAGCCTCTTGTCGAAAGGATTGGTCGCTGGCTCGCAGGATGCAAAATCAAGTTCCTTAACAAGGTCGACAGACACACCCTTGTGACCTCAGTCCTATCCTCCATGCCAACTTACCACCTAACAGTGTTCCTACTAGAAGTTTTGGGTACGTAAATAGATTGACAAAAACTTAGGTGATCATTCCTTTGGAAGGTTGACGAAAATGCTAATGGGGGGCAGTGCTTGGTGAATTGGCCTATAGCTATGCGACCAAAAGACCTTGGCGGCCTCGGAATCACCAACCTCGACAAGTTTGACAGGGCACTCCGCTTGAGATGGTTGTGGTACAAGTGGACGGAAACCTCTAGACCATGTGTGAGCTCCTGTTGGGGGGACGGCCTTGAGGCACCACCCCGCTCTGTCTCTGACCAAGGACCAGACCCTTCGACGCTCTATTGTCTTGCACTCGGAGGAAAATAAGCTTCAAGTCACCACTCGACCGAGCTCGAGGGCGACCCTCGTCATAGCGCTGACCTTCGTCGTCGCGACGTTCCTGGCAAGGGGCGTCCCGCTGACACCCCCAACGGAGGTACTTCTTATCTTGCAGGACAAATGACGCCCGCCGGGCCTCCGGGCGGAGGGCAACCCACGCCAGGTCTACTCCGGACCATTAAGAGAAGAATGGAAGACGGTGGTCCCGGAGACGACGCCGTCACGAAGGAGTGGTTGGAGCGGGCATGAGAAATGTCCGCTGTGCCCCTGAGCACCTGTGATGTGACGCCTTGCCAGGCAAGAGCGAATTGTAATTTTGCCACACCCACCAGTATGCTCTATAAATACCTGGTGGGCGGCACAGTGAGTTCCTCACAGAAACATGAACGCGAGGGCCAAGCTAACAGACAGCGGGAATGATGCAATAAATTTGGGAATAAATAACTATTAATTCATCCGGTATCAGGGGTGTTTGGTTCTTTAGTCGCTCCTAAAATTCATATCACATCGAATATTTAGATAATAATAAGGATCATTAAATATAGATTAATTACAAAACCAATTACATAGATGAAGGTTAATTTCCGAGACGAATTTTTTAAGCCTAATTAATTTATCATTAGCACATGTACTGTAGCACCGTGTTGTCAAATCATGGACTAATTAGGCTTAAAATATTCGTCTCGTCAATTAGTCGCAAGTTATGCAATTAATTTCGTAATTAATCTATATTTAATACTCCATACATATGTCCAAACATTCGGTGTAATAGGAATTTTAGAGTTCCTGCATGACCAAACAGCCCCTCGCTCGGCCTCCTCCTTAGGGTAGGAGCCCAGGCGAAGTCCCACAGCTCCGGTACCCCTTGTGATTCCATGGACATATTACTCTTTAATACCTCTACGGTGATCACAATTGGCAATGGAAAAAAGCATGGGGCATGTAGCATGTTCGTTTAATCGTAAATGATCATAAATTTCTAGGTAGAACAGTATTTTTCTTTTACACCAAACCAGCCAACAGTGAATAATCCATGATTGTTTACGGCCTGCCGAACAAGCTCATGATAGTTCGCTCGAGGGGAGGGCCCAAGAAACCTGGCACCACACCTCTTCACCCTAGTGCACAGAAAGAACAGGTCCGTGGAGCAAGAATTGCAGAATGGTAGCTAGATTAGAGCCTTACGCAAGGTATCAACCACAACACAACTTGAAGAGTTCGTTTCCCTCTAGATCGATGCGCCTTCACGTACAGTTACAACCTGTTATGTAGGACACCATTACTTGGCGATGGACTACTAATTAATGGCCAATACTCCACAAGTTTGGCATATTGTGCACAATTTGTGGGAGCCTTCAGTCGGCACAAGGCAAACCTAATTTGAAAAGCATGCGTAGAGAACAAATGCAAGATATTTCACCTGGATCCTCATCCAAGAGAAAATCCTCACTACAGACAAGTTAGCAAAGCGGGGGTGGCCGCACCAAGGTAAATGTGCTCTATGCAATGGACCAATGGAGACATGACCTCATCTTTCCTTTACTGCCTATATGTTAAAGAAGTGTGGAAGCTTGTTTCGGGGTGGGAGTAGTTCAATGTAGCTCAGCAAATTCTGCAATCAAATTTCGACAACATAGTTGAATGGTGGGAAGTTGCATATAGGACCATACCCAAAGACCAAAAACACACTTTCAATGGAGTTGTAATATACACTTGGTGGAGCGTTTGGAAAGAGCGAAATGGAAGAATCTTTAGCAATGAATTCAAATGGTGCAACAGGTCACTACCAAAGTCTGAGAGGATTTAGCGTTGAGAAGAAGTGATTTTGCCCGGGTTATGTAAAGGCATTGCCTTTTTGGCTAATTTGGCTCTTGGGCTTTTTTGTGCCCCTGTCATGTGCCCTTTTAAGCTCCTATAATTAACTCTATTTGCTCTGTTCTTAATTAAGTCAGAGCTAACAATTCCATGAAACGGTCCCGTGTCCTATATACAACTTTGACTATTCTCACCCTAATAATAAATCACGAAAATTCATCCTTTTCCTGTTTTGATTTCTTATGTTGTTTTCTCATAAACGTCAAACACAAATAATAAATGTCATATTTGGAGTCTTTGAACCGTTTATCATTTCTTAAAAAACAAAGATTCTCACCAAGTTGTTGATGTAGTTATGACTAAAAACAAAAATTATTTTTTATTAAAACCTGAATCAACATTTTGACAGTATTAAGTTAAACATATAATAATTCATGTGTAAATATTTTTATACTTGCAATAGGAAAACAAATCTATCAAGATTATATTTTTAATTTGATACATGACATTATTATATTATTGCCAACATTAACTTATGTCGGGTTCATAAACCCAGGGTCCCTCGGGGACCGGCTTTGACGCCCGGGCTCGGCCCAGGAGAACAACCTGTAGCTCATGGGCCGGCCCGAAAGGTCTAAAAAACAACGGGCCGGGGGGACAGACCGGTCGCCGACCGGAAGGTCCGCCGAAAGAACGAACGTCCGCTCGACAACTTCTTCGGCCCACCTCTCCGACCGGAGCGCTCGCCTCGGGCGCCGGCCGCCTCCGGGCGGACTCCCCGATCGGAAGGCCTAGCCCAAAACGCTGCTTCCTACTCCGACCCCGCGTCTCCGACCGGGGGCTCGTAGGAAGCTGTTTACCGCTCTTCTCCGACTGGCACGACCAGTACCGACTGGAGCCATCCGACCAGGGATTCCCACTCGGAAGGGACCAGGGGCGAATGGAGAAAGCAGCGCACAAAGTCAAAACACGGTACCGAGACCATACCCTGTACACCTGCGGAAACAGTGCTCTACAACCGACCTGACACAAGCAGTATAGGAGGTTTCGACATTTGTGCCTACAGTATTGTAGGTGCCGACATTTATGTCTACAGTATTGTAGGCACCGTTGGGGCTCCCATATGGCAAAAAGGCCCCCACATGCCTCTGGGCATCGATAGCGGGCACCAGGATTCACCATACCTGGTACACGTGGTGGGGGTCCTCATATACTAACAGCATTTCACAGGTACCGACATCTACCCTTCCTGAAGAAGCCAACGCAACCCCCCATGTGCACCTGACGTTCTACAGCGACATCAACAGTGTTATGCGTGCCAACCATCATCATTACCCTCACTCGGCGTGGGCAACAAGACT